CGACATCGAATGTCATATAATAAGAAAATGCCATCCAGGTATTTAATTGAATAATGCTTTTGTAAGAAAGGGAGAGAGCAAGTGCATTTTAAATAGGTAAGCACAGATGCTAGTAACATCCCTTGCCTGCATCTGTATTAATCTGCATTTTGTTCATTAGTGAAGTTAAAGTTGTTAATATATTGTATGGAAGACAAAATACCACTTTGTTTATGTCTAGCTACTATCACGACAAATATAACGCTGCTGTCTAAATAAAAGCACGATTAACACCTATTAGATCTAATTCAGGCGTTTTTTTGTTTATTCATAACATACGTGCTATTTCATACTCATTCGTGTTTGTAATATTGTTGATTGCTGAACAGAAGCACATACAAAACTGGACAGACTGGAACCCAGGCTAATCTACTCTCTAAATTATTGTTAAAACATTTTGTCATTTTGACAGATGAGAGTCATGTTTGGTTCAGAGCTTTAATGTGTCTTTTATACAAAAAAAAATAATAAATGCACAGAAAATTTTATTTCTATACGGTTAAATAATTAAAGTTATTGGAGTTCAAAATTTCAAATGCGATTTTCTCAAAATGACAAAAATAGCTTAGGGGTTTGTTAAAGTAAGCCAAAGAAATGAAACACATTTTTATAACCATTGGTCTACAGTATAATTTAATGAACAGTTTTCCGCTTAAAACGTTAAATTTGAATTTGAAAAATCAAAAGTATATATATATAAAATATATTCACAACTAAATTGAATATCGTTTTTTATGTGAATCTTGCAACGCTTTTCATTCTGTTTTTGTCATTTTGCACAATAAAAGTAAACTGGGAAAAAGTGATGAGGGAAAAATCTGAAAATCTGCACAAACGTCATTATTACATTAAATAGTACTCATATGTCGCAAAACTAATTCCATAGTCCCGTCATGTCAAAATAACCTGAGTGGAGTCCCTTTAACATATGTCTACATGTCTAAAGTTCTTACTTGCATTCATGTAAAAACAGGACAATCACATTGTAGTCATATTGTTATGGTACTTGCTCTAGAAGGGATTTACCTAAGTGCCTCTGTTTTTTTTTAAATACCGAGGAAGGTTTAAGATCTCAACAGAATAAAGTGTTCTCAAACAAAATGTTTCATTGGAATTTTATAGGGGTTTAAGCAACTATTCTGCACACGCAAATCTCAAATTTTCAGTTAATTTCTACATCCTGCCGCTGCAAGCATTATAGGACTTAAAAGTTGTGAAGAATCAGCATTTTCTTATTGTCATTAGGCATTAGTCATCATTCCAGTCCACCCTTGAAAATATCATTTTAATATAACCTTGGAAATTGCCACTTTTTGTCTTTTGATTAATTTATTGTAAAACATGCACATAAAAATACTCACGAAATGTTAAATATATTTCACAAAAAGTCAGTAGGAAATGCCTGAATAGGCTATATTTGCTGATACATACAATGCTCTATGAATAACAACTAGTTGTTTCATTTAACTTGCTTGTTTTTCTCTCTATTCTATCTTAACATAACATTAACATAAAATACAGTATGACTTATTATTTGTACGGGTTTTTAAACAGGTAACTTTTGATATTAAATGGCACTTTTTGACAAGTCTTTAACAATCAGAATAGTGTTGAAAAGTTATATAAATATAGCTGCAAACAATTTCATTATCGGATCACGCCAGAAGTTTTCTTTGAAACAGGTAAGAATACATTATTTGACGATTTCCATTATCATAAGTTTTGATTTAAATGGTCACATTGCATTTTACTTTACCTTACCTCCTGATTGCAATGTATTTGAAAGTTTTGCTCTTGATTTTGGTAGAATAGCGATCGAAAGAAAGTTAATAAATAAACATATTTTGTATAAGTTTCTAATTTTCTGTATAATTGTCCTTGGCACTTATTACCCCTTCCTCTCTTCATAGATGTGGATGCTCTTTAATTTTTTTTGAAAATATTTTGAGCTTTCCTGTAGTATCTTATTATATTCTGTCGGTTCTATTTATATTTTCCCCCTAAAATTCGTTAAAAAAATAAACAAACTGCCATGATATTTTTATACTTTTATTGAAATTTATTAAAACGTAAACCCGCTTAAATTCAACAATTTAAAGAATATAAAAATTTATGAGTGGACCAATAACAAGAATACATTTTTATATTTTTTTATTTCTTTGATATTTTTCCCCTAAAGTATGCACTATTCTATGCAAAATGCATCAAGCAAACCTGCGTTATGTTGATATATTTTAACGGGTGATGTTCAATCGAGAATATACAAAATGTGTTGCAAAGAACTGTTGTCAAATTGGTTTTATAGTTCAAACGCGTAATAAGAATAACACATGCATTAACAACGTCTGCAATTTGTAGCGATGCTAAAAAAACAAGTAATAAATAAATAAATGAATAAATGACTAAATAAATAAATAGATAAATAAATAAATAAATAAATAAATAAATTAATTAATTAATTGATTAATTGATAAATAAATGAAAAGGGTCTTCTTGAATTACGCAAGCCTCGGTTTGACTGTGAAAGAACAATAAGTTCGTGGGGAGAGGCCCACGATGTCTTCCAAAATCTGGAACTAATGGGAAGATGCATTTTACGACTTAAGTTGTCATTTTAATTGTTAACCCAACTAAATATGAGTTCACAATATTGATATAGCTTTATATGTTAAAGAAAAAGCTCATTTGAAAACGAAGCAGTGGACGTTGTAGTTTGGTGTCCTTAAAAGTAAGGGATTACATAAGGTTGACCATAGAACAACAGCATTTTATACACCTGCTTAAAGGTGTGCTAAATTTATGATGTTGTAACAACTCGGGAATAAAAAGAAACAAAATGCAAACCCTGATCCTTCTTTGTGTTATGTTTCATAAACGTTTATATCCGGTTATAGGTATAGACCTTTTTACGACGCGGTCCGTTTGTATGAAATATTGACCGGAAAGGTATTTTCTGGCGCATGCACAATCTGCATAGGAGAAAAAAAGAGCATTACCCTAAATAGAAATGTAGTAGAAGTTCATAGACAAATCCGAGTTAGTTTAAGGAAAGAAGTAGAAAATCATATAAAACATCTTTAGACAGAAACACCTCCGAGAGCATTGAAGAATAAAAATATTAAACTTACAGACACAGTTTTATTAAGTCTGTTCAACATAGGTGCATCATCTGTCATATGAGGTAGCACTAAAGCAGTTTTTTTTTCTATTTTGATAAGACGACACGACAAAATGATGCATAAGTTTTCTTTTTGTGAACTTGATTAATGAATTATTTATTGACAGTTGTGGCCTACAAACAGCAGACGATAATGTTGATGTTATTATACATAATTGGCGTCCGCGCCGAAGCGCGGCGCCCTTATGTAATGAAATCAGATTTTGTGAAAGGGCGACAGCAACTTCTCGAGCCTTTATAGTTGTTCATAATAAAAGCCGATCATTCCGATCGGTATGAGGGTGCTTGAAATCAGATTTTGTGAAAGGGCGACAGCAACTTCTCGAGCCTTTATAGTTGTTCATAATAAAAGCCGATCATTCCGATCGGTATGAGGGTGCTTGATTATTAATTACAATGAATAGCGAACTGGAGAATTTCGCAATGCAAACATTTTCAAATTAATTAACCTTTTCCGTCAATAAATCGCGCTCTTCGGGGTATTTTTATTTATCATTTTGTAGTACACAGTGGGTTATTATGGTATGTTATTCCGAAAGCTGTAAATAGAATGTTGAGTTGATGACCTAAATATTCCGAAAATCTATTTATAGAGGGATGTACTCTTGTCGGTAATTCCCGGTCTCTCCTGGTCTATTTTGACGACCGGCGAATAGTACCACACGTTTATAGTCCGGTCTCTTCCGGTTTTGGAGTAGATGTTTGATATCGTTAAAGAACAGAACAAATATTTTACAGATAAATAAGCTTTTTTTCAAAATGAATGTTTGTCACTTAGTTTGGTTACAATAATTAATAAAAATAGATCAACTCTCAAATTTATTGATTATTATTATACATAAACATACAATTCGAAAAAAAAACCAACAACACAAATCGCATGTTTTATTTTATCTATATGAGATAAATATGTACAATAATTGAGAAAAAATGTACATTTTATGGCATTAATATGACACTATCAACTTTGAAACATTTTATTTAATTTGTTATTCGTGTTTAGTAAAGATGCCGAGGAATTATTCAAAGTTACAAATCAGATTTTATGAATTATTCAATTGATTGATAATTTAAAAAATGATAAAGAAAAATACAAATGTATATACATGTATATGGTTTAAGAATAAACAATATTATATATTGAAAGTTTAACCATAATTTACTGACTTTTTCCTGTTGAGTTTTGACTTATAATCGTCGGTCATTATGACAATTAAATTCTTAAAATAGTAGTAAACGTAAAAACTCAGTATTAAAGCAGTGCATAAAACACAAAAAAGAAAAGAAAACAATATTCATAAAATCTGTATTTTTTATTAAAAAAGATATTACAATTAGTGTATAATAAACATTTATGCTCAACATGGTAATATAACAAGTGTCATATTGTTACTAAGTGTGAACAGATAGCTTAAGAGGGGGTCTTCGCTAATAGCGATAACATAATAAGGGACAATTACACAAATGTGGTGTTGATCATGCGTTACTCATATGGATTATAAATGATTGTATACATGTATATCCGTTGCTATTAATAACCACGATCATAAAGAAATAGCAAGTAGTATTCTAATTTCTAGCATGCCAATCAAAGTTATAAATAATGAACAATGTCTTTCGTTCGTTCATTCATAAGTGATATACAATTCTGGTAAAAACCAATGAACCATTGAACAGTTTATAAGAATATCTTGTTATTATATATCTACTAGTTCATCTGCACCTGCTGCATATCTTGCTTGGACGCCCTTTGATGCTTTGCATCAATGCTTTTCTTGTAGCAACTGTAATACCGTTCAGTCTTGTTGAAGGCCGCAAAGGATGCTGGGCGGGCCCAACACCGCCAGGGAAGGAATGCTTGTAAGTATCTTTACGGAATATAAGACCGAAAAAAATCATATATTATTTCAAATTTTCTCAAACATTGCATTATATTTCTTTTTGGTGCGCTTATCATTAGGTGACTTCATATTTATGCGCAAAAAAATTCGTCAAAAAGAATATGCAATGATAAGTCTCTGTTATATGCAGATGTATTGTTTTTTTAACTTTTCGCTCAGTTAACAGTTAACTGACATTCACATTTACTACATCTTAATGTTTCTTTACTTACCAATGTTATATTATCTAAGGTATGGTAAAGAAATACTCGGCGGAAGAAACCTCGGCATACACTATATCTTCACCTCAACGTTCACCCGGATATGTTGTCAGGCATATGAATGTACATACTGGGGAATGTGTAGATTTAAGGACCTATGGTGCGGACAAAGTGTGAGCGGGGTTCCAATAAAAGCTAACGCATTGCTTTGGGGACAAAGGGATGTTGAACCCATCATGAGGTGTTATGATTCACGTGGAGCCGGTGCCTATTACAGCTTCACTGTCCAGGTTGTTCCCATTGAAGATCGTTAAAGAAACTCTTTCTGACACCTGATCATGAAAAGTATTTCATTGTTGAAAGAAAATAAAAAGTTTTTTCCCCTTTTCTACCCTTTTCCAGATTTTTAAAACCTATTTTTTTTTTTAATATTTTGAACGAAATTTATATTGTGATAACATTATATGTTAATAAAGGTGATGGAAATATGAAATTGATTTTATTTGTATTTTCAGTAGTATGTTTAAAGTTGCATGCCTACAGATGACTTGAAATATTTCAAGAAAATTAAACTTGTAAAAAACATACTAAAACTTTCAGAAAAGTAAACAAATTAAAGATTCAAGTGAAAATTTTTATCTTATGTGCAATTAATGACTGTATTTTGTAGTATTTATCACAATATTTCTACTGCGTTACTAACGCAGTAGGGGCTATTTATGCATATTTTGACCTCTTTTTTGGTAATTTACGTGGATTTTAAGTGTCGATTGTAATGTGTTAATTACTTTCTTCGTTCATTTCACAATATTTTACCTTTAAAAACATTTTCAAAATTTTCACGAAAATAAGGATGAATCTGGAGGCGTGCTGCTTTAAAAACGAAGCCCAATCTGTCGTTTCTAAATGTGTAATTGAACACTGCTTAAGTTTAGCTACATCGAAACTAAAATGATCTATTTGGCTAATTTAAGAATTACATTTAAAGAAGACATTCAGTTCGCTATCGCTAGAATAAATGAAATACAAAGAAAACAAGAAGAAAATATATTATCATCAAGCCTGTGAATACCGAATTCGCACACCAACATACAATATTTGCCAAGTATTTACCGTTTCCACTCTATATCCCTGAGATCTCATGAAAATAGTCTAAAAAATGGTAAAATATGATCCGTTTTGAGGACTGAATACTGCTTAAGCCGGTGCTAGCCTACCCTTTCCTCAATATTTCATGAACGGAATCTGTTATTATCATTACCTTTTTATTCATGTCTTTACTGATCTTAAGGGATCACCTTTATCTAGAAATTCAGTGTGTTCATAGAAATCTGTTTAATTAGAATTTTTATAAAGTATCTACTTATTTGTAGTGATGCAAAAATGGCTTAAGTGAAAATGAATTGTTATAAACCACTTCATAACAGCAATTGATACGATTTTTTATACTTTATAATTATTGCAATAAAACTTTTATATCGTAATTTAAACCTACTAGTCCATGTTCATTGGTCCCTAGTGCAATTATATAATGTATTTCTAAGATGTTGAGCTGCCAAATAAAAAGCAAAGAGCTGTTGATTCAAACGCATTTCATCAGATGAGTAATTATCTTTGCAATGACAACAGCAAAATAATACCGTTTTTTTTCTCTCTCTTTTTCTTTGGATACTTCTGTAATATATAAGAGAAGAAAATGTGAGAAGAATATATCAGCATACAGAAGTCAGGAAAACGGGAATATACACCGAGAGTAAAGGGCACATTAGGAGAGATAATGAAGGGTGAACATCTGTTATACCCCATTGCACCGTCTCTTGCGGTACTTTATCCTCAATACTTAATACTAAAGATATTGAAATCACTTATCCTGAAGGCCCAGAAAATTTAATAACACTGATATAAAGTACGGGACAAATTTTTACAGCATGTCACTAAGCATTTGGCACCTGCTATTGTGAGTATACAAAGCTTGAAAAAGTGGCAGTTGATGTAAAAGAGAAAAGTAGGTTTCAATTTGAATATTGCAAATTTTCAGTTTGTTTATGATAGCTCACGACAGTTGCAAAATCTCTTACGCCCTCTACAATCACCGATTTAAACCCCAACACGTTTGCAGAGATTTTAAGATTTAAAAACATTAATAATACTTGCTTTGTATCCCTTAGTAATCAATCGAGCGTTTCTTACTTCTTTGTATAAGTCCCTCGATTATACTTTATATTTTTTACCTCGTTAGTAATAAATTCAAAATGGAAAGCATTAAAATGATTGCAATAAAATGAAAACTTTGGTTTTAGTTTTTATATCTACACATAGTAAAAAGGCCATTTTAAAATGTATTAATGGCGATCACTTTCCATATTTTATCACAATGTAACTGATATTATGAAATAATTCGAAATCATAACCAGAAAATGAAGACTATCATGTTATCTAAGACATCATATAAAGATAAGATGGTTGTGTGAACTCATTAAGATTGTTTGCAAGGGCATGAAGAAGAAGTTTATGAATTTACTTCAAGGAATTAAATGCGGCGCCTTATAGTTTCACAATGGGCGAAAACAATGGCTTCCGGATCATCAGTACATTTTGTTTATTTATTCTAGTGTCACAGATTAAAGGTATTTATATCATCTCCGTATATATTGAGTAGAATGTTTAATGATGTTTAATATATAAATATATTATAAATTTATTTTAATACACAATTCGTGAATAACATGACATTATGAGCTATAAAATATCTACATTTTTAACTTAACTATAGAGGCATACATTAAACAGTTATGCTTAGCTTTGTGTAGAGATAAGATAAGATAAGTAAATTTTATTATAATGACATTGTTTCATGTACATACATAATAACGATACATATTTATTTTTGCAACACCCGGCCACGTTGGGCTTACAAGTCACTTAATTATTTAATCATTTTCAAAAATATACAATTTATAACATAATTTACATATTAACTATTTATTTACATTCACGAAGAAATAGTGATTAAAATGATCTTGGACATAATAACATCTACATTATTAGAGAAAGAGGAAGTATACAAGCTTACAATTTTTTTATCCAATCACTTTCGGTATCAAATCACATATATGGTACATATATTATGGTGGCATATTTCTGCCACCAGATAACCTGATTACTAACTACTTAATTAAGAGGTTAACTAGTTACGTAACTAGTTAACCTGCTACCTAACTTGTTAATTAAGTGGTTAACTAGTTACGTAACTAGTTAACCTGATGACTAACTAGTTAATTAAGAGATTAACTAGTTACGTAACTAGTTAACCTGATAACTAACTAGTTAATTAAGAGGTAAACTAGTTACGTAACTAGTTAACCTCTTAATTAACTAGTTAGTTATATGGTTATCTGGTGGCAGAAATATGCCACCGTAATATATAGTTGTCATTCATGTGCAAATATATTTACAACATTTTTTTAAATTAATTTCTGTACAGAGACATCCTTCTTCTGTTCATAGCTTCAACTAAAAATTTAGCAACATGTACATAATGATAATTGACAGCATATACTAACTTATTTACTTCAGACACATATGTTCAAAATCAGGATTTCTATCTTTACATTTGGTAACAGGTTCTCTCGTAAGTCATTATATATAATGCAGTTTAAAATTAAATGAGTCTCATCTTCTGCAAAATTAACTGGACAAAAATTACAAAATCTTTCGTATACATTTAAACCGACATATCTTCCCGTTTCTATCTTAAATGGAAGTATACCACATCGGAATAGAGCAAAATGAGACCGTTCAATCTTAGTTAATGACGAAAGCACATACTTTTCAGTATTATAATGCTGTTTAGATTCAATATAATTTATGTTCTAAGTTTGGCAACATTTCCTACATTATTTCACCTATCCGGCAATGCATCTTCAACATCTTTTAGGTTTACAGGTAATTTGTTTTCATAACACTGTGACATTTGAATTTGTTGCAATATAGTCTTTATATGTTTTTCCGAAACAATTGTAGTCATAGGAGAACATTCTTCTTAGAAGTCTATCGTCCGGCATATTTACAAGTCGATTTCAAAATCGTAATATGTTAACCCAACGTCTATGTTGAGTGGAAATCCAACCCATATCACAATTTATTGCTAATAATGGTGCAAATTAATGCACACCCGTAAAATATCTTATTGCTTTGTTTTGCGTCATATCGATTTTGTTATAATATTTAAAACCCCATATTGCGGAACAGTAATCTGTTACAGGAACAAACATGAATAGTACATTTTAGTAAATGTTTTAAAGCCAACATCTTTATAACTATGTACATTAGAAATAATTAGACCTAGTGCTCGGCCACCAGATTTAGACAACAATTCGGCAGTTTGAGTAAAATATAAGTGCTCATGTAAATTAACACCCAAATATTTATACATATCTGTAAAAAATCGAAAACAATTGCCTTTTCTAAATTGAAAATTGCTTCTATTTTTACCATTATTTCTGAATTGCACAACCTTTGACTTTTCATTATTAATAATAAGTCGCCATTTCCGACACCATTCATGAACATTATCTAAAATGTCTTGCACATTATCTGAACATTAAATGAACATTATCTAAAATTATCTAAAATGTCTTGGGGGCGTGGACGGTAACTTGCACTATCCAGTAACGTCCATGAACAGGCTCAATCAAACCGAGCCTGCAACATTTTCAATTTTGCCGTGCTGAGCTTTCTTTAGGGATTCTGTATTTATCTATTTTTTGCATATCTTAATCATTCTCAGACAACAATAAATGTCATCAGCATAAAACAAACAACAAAGTATATCATTATTAAACTGTACACTCTTGTTAAGAGTCTTTAAGCAAAGATTGTTGGCGATCCGCTGTGTATCCTTGCTTTACGCCAGACAGAGTCGAGAACCAGTCCGTTAACATACCGTTTAACTTAACACAAGACGATGTATCCGTCTAAAAAGCCTTTATTAAGTTATAAAATTTTCCATTTATACTATTAGACAAAAGTTTATACAAAAGAACATTCCTATTGACAAAGTCAAATGCCTTTTTTATATCAATAACAGTTCCAAATGTATCAAGTTTACTCAAAAGTGTGTAAAATACATTATTGCTGAAATTCATTGAGGGATATGCAGGCAAAATAATGACAAAAATATTAAAATGATATTTTGTACTCAACTCGCCCTAAAATGACATTTCTAAACATTTTAGAATGAATTTCTGTTTAAATTCTATATATTTTGGATTTAAAGCATAACTATATCTTTATATTTTGAACAAAATTTAGACGCCAATAGAATCACCGAATAGTTTTAAAACAAGTCAGGTGACTTGAACAAATCCTTGAAGTTACATTAACAGATACTGTGGATATTATATGATTGAAACAAGTCAAAGTCATTCATTTGACATGTTCTTTAACGTTTCGAGAGTTCACTGTGACAACTATTGTGAAATCCTAGCGCTC